CAGTGTGGCCCCAAAGAAACCAGACCAAGAGAGGACCTGGCTGGCCCAGGCCGGTCCCACCCGCCTGCTCTGCCCCCAGGGCTGGGTAGGAGCCGGGAAAACCAGCCCCTCTGTGGCAGCGGTCAGTGCCCACGTGCCTCCCCTGGCCCGGTTTAGTCTGGCGTTTTCCACCCGCGCCAGAAGCGAGTGGCTGCGTCTCCATCCCACCTCCCTAGGCCTGCGGAGAGGTCAGAGGGCGAGTCCACCCACCCGCCTCTCCGAGCCCCCTGCTCCCCAGGGAGATAAAGGAAAAGTGATTAAAAAAAAAAAAAAAAACGCTCTTCTCTGGCAAACTGGATGGGCCAGTCTAGCATCTTCATTCCTCTGTGGATGAGGCCCAGAGACAAGAGAGAGGCTGGAGGCCCTGAGGTCACACAGCCCCTGGGGGATGCGGGAGGGGTCGGGCTCCACCTCCCCGGCCCCCGGCGCCTCCTGGGCCTCCTGCTCAGCTCGTTAGGAGGCCAGGGAGGCTCCCAGGAGGCGAAACGCAAAACCGGGCCTGATTAGCGGGTGCGGGGTGGGGGTGGGGGGTTGAGGGGGTTGGGAAGAGCACCTGAAAAAGAAGCCGTCCCCGGGGTGGGGGGGGGGAGAAACGGGGGGGGGGGGGGGGCGGAGTTGGGGGTTAAGGCGGCCTTTTGGGTCCAGTTTGGTCCATCAGTGTGTACCTAGTGCCCACAAACAGGAGGTGCTCAATGAATGTGTGGGAAATGAAGAAACGGGGGCTTAGACGAGTGGGAGGAGACCCCTGTGCCTCAGTTTCCCTGAGCCTGCAGCCGACGTCTTCAGCACCCCAGCCTCCCAGCCTCGGATCTGGGAGGGGCCGCCGGGCTGGCACCAAGGAGGTCTGGCCCTGGGTGGTCCGGAGGCCCCCAAAGTGTGGCTTTTGTCCTGTTCTTCTGATACAACTGGTCTGTCCTCATTCCGGGAGCGGACTGGGGGTGGGGTGACCTCTGACCTGACACAGCAGCCTGGCCGAGCCGGGTCCCCAGGGAAGGGAGGAGGGGAGAGAGAGGCCTGCAAGGGGGCCTGGCTGCAATCCAGCTGCCCTGCCCCGGGGCCGCCCGGGCCTGCCCCTGCCTGAGCGTCCCAAACCCCATAGCTGCGTGCGGGCGACGCGCGCTTTGCACGTGGGGAAACTGAGGCCCAGAGCTGCGCGGTGACCTGCCCCGCGGCCCAGAAGTGCCAGGTTCAAGCCCCGAGTTGGTGTTTAGGAGGGGCCCCCTTGGCGCACCCCTGGTTCCTCAGAATGCCAGATGTCGAGATTCAAAAAAATTTGGTTTGCGTTGAAGGCGCGAATCAGCACTCGAGGCATCTTCTTTCGCTCAACGGAAACATTTGAGAACCCGGGGCCGCCAGCTGCTTCTAGTTTCAACCCGTATAGGGACTAGGTGGCCCGTGCCTCAGTTTCTGCATTTAGCAGAGGGGCGCGACGAGGTGGGGACACCCAGCTCTCCTCAATGCACAGAAGTCCGTCAGTTTCCCACGCCCCTCCCCCCCAACCCGGTAGAATTAAATTCGAGGCTCCCCGCTGCCCACGGAACCTCAGGGCCTTGGCACGACCGCTGCCCGCCTTCCTTTTCAAGTCGTTGGCTCCCTGCTCAAGCTACACCTCCTCTGGGAAGCCCCTCCTCCAGACGCCCCAAACAGGCGGGTCCCCGGTGACGCCCCTCCGTCCCTGGAATGCAACTTCGCGCCGTGACCCCGGGGCTGGGAGCGGCCCACCCTCAGCCTCCCCGTCGGTGGCTCACGCCTGCCACCTGGCGGCCGAGACTGGGGCTGCGGACGCCCACGCTCCGGGCGCCCGTTCCCGCTGCTTGACCACCAGGATCTAGGCCCTGGAACAGGCACCCCGCATCCGGCACCCCCCGTGTTGCTCATGGGTACATCACCCCGGGCAGCCAAATCTCGCGAGCCGGAGATCTCGACTTTCGAGTGATTCGTCCCTTTTCAAAGGTTGTCAACTGATTCCACATTTTAAAGGTCAGCGTTTAGACGTGGCCGGAGGCCAGCAGCTGCGACCAGACGTTAGGTGCTCCGGATTTGTGAGCTGCACCAAGTTCCTCAAATAAAAATGTGGGGTTTTGTAGCCCCTAAAGAAGAGGGGTCCAGGGGGAGGCCGACAGTGTTCCGTGAGTCCTCATCTAATTACAACGTGTCGTGTGCCAGCTAGGTATGTTACGTTAGGTACATAGTCTGTGTTTTTCGTGCACTGTCTCGTTTAGGCCTAGGGAGGCACTTTAGTATTTGCACGTTAAAAAAAGATTCCGAGAGGCTGAATCACTTTGCCAAACGCGCCCGGTGGAAATGGTCGAGCCAGACTTCAGGCTCTGAAGCTATTAACTGCTCGCAGGAGGCCCTGGTCTTGGTTTCTCCGTCCAGTTTTGATAAAGAGAACCCTCCAAAATCTCTACCCAGGAGATGCGCCCCTCGATTCCCAGCGGGGGCGGGGCCGGCCCCTCCCCGAGGCATGTGCGCATGCGCGGGCCGACCAGCCGCCAGGGGCGGGGCAACGTGGGCGCCGCTCTAGCCGGCGCGGCGCAGTCGCCCGCGTGTCGCTGGTGATGACGCACGTCCGAGTTGGTGGGAGAGGAACATGGCGGCGCCCATGGAGGTAGCGGTGTGTACAGATTCGTCGGCCCAGCTCTGGAGCTGCGTCGTGTGGGAGCTGCACTCGGGCGCCAACCTGCTCACGTACCGCGGTGGCCAGGCTGGGCCCCGTGGCCTGGCGCTGCTCAATGGCGAGTACCTGCTGGCGGCGCAGCTGGGCAAGAACTACATCAGCGCCTGGGAGCTGCAGCGGAAGGTGTGGCGGCGCACGCCGGGGCCCGGTCTCCGCTGGGGGGTTGCGCGAGGCGCCCGAGACGGGTCGGTGGGGGAGGCACGCACCCCGAACTGGGTGGAAGGGTGGGGAGTCTCAGTGAGGGTGCTGTGCGCATGCGCGGGCCTGGGGGCTTTTTTAGAGAGGGAAGACGCGCGCCCCGGGGCTGGTGGGGTCGGTGAGGGCGCACGCGAGAAGTGTGCGCCGTGGCTTGGGGAGTGAGGGGCGGGTCTCCGGTAGCAGGCCAGGCGCTCGCCCACATAAATAAGTGGGGTGGTGGAGGGGCCCTTAGGCCGACTGTGCATGAAAGGGCGGGAAATTCAAAGGGAGAGTTTGCACTTGAGTTTCTGTGGGTGTCGTGGGTTTGGAAAATGAAACTCTGAGGCTCGGGGAGCCCCTAGAAAGGGCAGCCCAGGAGACTCTTGCATTTGCCCTCCCTCAAAAGACCCTACTCTTCGTCATCTGACCTCTCGGTGTCTCCTCTTCGAGCGACTCCAGAACGCAGTCCCCCGAGCTAGCTGCTCGCTGCCTCTTTCCACCGGCTGGCATCTCTTGGGGCAGACTGTGCTCGACCTTTGCCTTGTGTGGTCCACACATAACTTAGAAAGTTTTCCCATTTTAAAGATTTAAAACCTGAGGTTCAGGGTTGCAGGTGCTACCTTAGACATTTGGGGAACAAGCCAACTGGCCTTTGGGCTCTTTGGCCCCCACCGCCCTCCTGGACCCTCTGTGCTTTGCCCACCCCCCTGCCCAAAGAGACTCGCTGGCCCCCCACCCAGATGGAGCACCATCCTGCTTTTCTCTGAAAATCCACAGACTTCCACTTCCAGCCTGCAGAGCCTCGGCTGGAGCGAACGTTTCTTTGCTGGACTGTGGGTTTGTTCAAACCACTCGCGTCCCAGTTCCTCTTTCTGCTTTTCTCGGACTTAACCAGCTTCCTGGGCGCCCCTCCCACTCTCCTCACTGCCCTCCGGCTCCCAAGTTCTATGTGAAGGTCAGAGACTTCCTATGTCCTCTTAGGATCAGCTCCAGCAGAAGATCATGTGCCCTGGGCCTGTCACCTGTCTGACCACGTCACCCAATGGGCTCTATGTGCTGGCGGGCATTGCAGAAAGCATATACTTATGGGAGGTAAGTAAGCATGAGAGCATAGAGCCAGGGGCGTGTGGTTTGGCCTTTGAGCCACTGGATTAGATCACCAACAGCGTTGTCACCAGCATTGGTTGTGTCTGTGGGGAGCCATGCCTCACCTCCAACGCAGACAAAAAGTGGGCGTAACCACGTCGAGTCCTGCCTGACCCTGTCCGGGGCTGCAGAACGAAAATGGCCTTGGCGCGTCCGCCAGCCATCGGCCAAGGGAACTGAGTTCTCTGAAGCAGACATAGGAAGGGCTCTGACAGCTCACCTCGGGGCTTGTCAACTGTGGTCCTGTGCCTGGTGCTTGGGCACGGAGGGGGAAGCCGAGGCGGAGAGGTTACCCACCGTGATGCAAAGCCTTGCCCTGGTCACCGTCAGCCTGGAGCAGGGAGCGTGGCAAACCCACGGCCTTGGCCTGATGGTGTGTGTCTTAGGGCTTACCCTTCTCGATGGGGGACAGTCACGGTACCCCGTGGCAGGTGGTGTTGCTGGGTGGCCCTGGACCTCCAGTCCTCATCCCTGGAGAATTCCTGACCAGTGTGGGCTCTGACCACAAGGGGGCACCCCATGCAGCCAGCCAGAGGCAGGAGCTCAGGCCCAGGCCTTCCAGCCCCCTCCATAAGGCGCCACCCTTGACCTCTCCCCAGCTCTTAAAGTGGGCAGGGGGCTAGGGACCCTTAAAATGAGGGCTGTGGGTGAACCACTGTGCGTCTGTGTCCAAGTTTTTCTCGTCTGAGGAAACTGGGTGTTGAATTTGGAGCCACCTTACCCTAGAGTGACTTCAGCTGAACTGATTATACCTGCAGAGCTCATGTATTCAAGTGAGATCTTAGGTTCCAGGGGTTGGGATGTGAACGTATTTATTTGGGGGATGCAATTCAACCCGCAGCAGCATCTGCGCTCCCCTGCCCCCATGCCACAGCCCCTCCCAGGCGTTCTGTGATGGGCTCACCTCTCTCTGCCACTTCGCCTCCCTCTTCTGTAGACCGAGCTTGTTTTCCTGCTGCTTTTGGGTCTCCCCTCCTGCAGGTTCCACCGCAAGGGGCGTCCCCACCCCCGTCCTTCCCCCAGACCACGTGGCGTGGCCGTGCTTGAAGCCCCTCACAGCCAGCCCAGAAGGCTGTGACAGAGTCCCTTGAGGAGCCGCCCGTTTGCGGGTCCTGTGTCCAGCTGCTCCCTCGCCAGCCTTGTCACTCTGGCCTACACCTTCCCTGGGGGCTGTGTCGCACACCCCTCCTCCCTGCGGTGCTCCCCTGCGGTGCTCCCCTGCGAGCTGGCGGCCGGGGACTGGGAGCTGCGCCCGGTTCCTGCCCCGACCTGGTGTGCGCTCCCACCCCCAGGTTTCCACGGGGAACCTCCTGGTCATCCTGAGCCGCCACTACCAGGATGTGTCCTGCCTGCAGTTCACAGGGGACAGCAGCCACTTCCTGTCAGGGGGCAAGGACTGCCTGGTGCTGGTGTGGAGCCTGTGCAGGTAGCGCCCTGACCCTTCCAGCTCACGCCCTGCTGTGCCACACGCGGTCTGCAGCCCGTAGCTAGGGAGCGCAGGGAGCCTGCTCTGCAGAAGGCGGTGCCAAGGTCCCAGGGGCTGGTGTGAGGTGGACTGGGGCGATGGGTCCGTGCTGGGGTCCGTGGGGCGCCATCCCAGGATTTTCCTTGGGCGGACGGCCCGGTGGCCGTGTGGAGGCAGGTGGGGCGCCAGGCGTGGCCCTCCCTGAGCCCGCTGCCCCCACAGCGTGCTGCAGGCAGACCTCTCCAGGACCCCGTGCCCCCGGCATGTCTGGTCCCGCCACACCCTCCCCATCACAGACTTGCACTGCGGCTTCGGGGGGCCCCTGGCCCGGGTGGCCACAGCCTCGCTGGACCAGACGGTGAAGGTAGGCCCTCCCCGCCCCGTGGATCTGCGAGCTGGGCTCTGGTGGCCGGCTGGTTCTCGGCTCACGTGAGCCAGTGAATCACCTCTCCCAGGCCGGCAGCTCCAGCCCCCGATGCTTCCGGCCTCAAGGACGTCCAGAGGATGGACGTTCGGGCCTGAGTTGGCTCGGAAATCCCCACTGGCTGCCCGCACCCGGCGGCTCCCTGGCTAAGCCGCAGGTCTTTGTCTGTGGCAGGGTGGGGAGGAGTCCAGGGCTGGCAGCAGCTCCAGGTGGAGGTGGTGAGGGGTCCCAGGCATGAGAACCGAGCCGCCTCAGGAAGGCCATGGTTCCCAGCTCCCAGACCCCCGGTGATAGCGCCCGTCCAGGCTTCCGTGGGGCCCAGGGTCTCGCACTCAGGCTGCCCGGCTCAGAGCAGCACCCGTGCCCCACCGGGATCCTGCTGGTGCCCGTGGAGCACCCACCCCACACTCCGCCCGCCCCTAGCTGTGGGAGGTCTCCTCGGGTGAGCTGCTGCTGTCCGTGCTCTTTGACGTGGGAGTCGTGGCCGTGACCATGGATCTGGCCGAGCATCACATGTTCTGTGGTGGCAGTGACGGCTCCATCTTCCAGGTTGATCTCTGCACCTGGGTGAGTGGTAGGCGCCTGGGCCCATGGTTGGAGGCTTGGGGGCGGGTGGGACACCAGGGTCATCCTCCAAAGGCCCTGGGACTGTCCATTCTCCCCCCCAGTCCAGGTTCTGGGGACCCTGGGGCCGAGGTGCCACCGTGTCCCTCTGGTCACTGGCCCCTTGGCCCCGCAGCCCGGGCAGAGAGAGAAGAGCTTCCAGCCGGAACAGGACAGTGGGAAGGTGTTCAGAGGCCACAGGTGCGGGGACTGATGGGAGCAGAGGAGGGGCCCCGTCTCGCTCCAGGGGCTGGGAGTCATTTGCACCGCCCTTTCCTGGGCCTGTGTCCCCAGGAACCAGGTGACTTGCCTGTCCGTGTCCACTGACGGCAGCGTGCTGCTTTCCGGCTCACACGATGAGACGGTACGCCTTTGGGACGTCCAGAGCAAACAGTGTATCAGGACGGTGACCCTGAAAGGTGGGACTGGTGGCAGGCCAAGGTTTGGGGGCGGAGGCGGAGGCGGAGGCGGAGAGGCTGCGGAGGCGGCCGCTTGGCTTTGTCTGCGGCCCAGCCCCTGGGCCGGGCGCTGGGAGGCAGGCCTGGCGAGGGGAGGCGGTGGGGGGCACTGCTGGACAGGGGCCGGGTCGGAGGAGCAGCGGGAGCTGGGCCCACCTGACCAGCCGCCCGGCCCCACAGGTCCCGTGACCAACGCCTCCATCATGCTGGCCCCGGTCAGCATGCTGAGCTCGGACTTCAGGCCCAGCCTGCCGCTGCCACACTTCAACAGACACCTGCTGGGCGCTGAGCACGGGGACGAGCAGCACCGCGGGGGCCTCACGCTGCGCCTGGGTCTCCACCAACAGGTAGCCCCGCGGCAGGGCCCCGGCTCGGCCTCTGCAGGGAGGCTCTGCGTCCCCTTGGTCTTGGTCCTGGGTGGGGCCTTCCACAGATGTCCTCCATGGGGCAGCCCCCCTCTGACCGCCTGGCCGAGCCCAACCTAGCGGCCAGCACCGAACCTCAGAAGGCACCGGAACTTTTCAGAGTGCAAGCCACGCGTGTGACTAGGGGTACCGCGCGTCCAGCCCCTTCACAGGGCAGTAGGCGGCGCTCGGGCCTCTGGTGCCGCTGGGCTCCCCTTGCTTGGACGGCAGAGCAGACGGCAGGGGCCAGCCCCACACACCAGTCCTCGTCCCCTAGAGCCTCTTGATCCTAGTTTCTGCACATCCCCCAGGCCCAGCCCCAATCCCACACCTGTGGCATGGCCCGAGCATCCTGCCCCCTGGGCCTTTTGGGGCGCACCCCTGCAGCAAGCAGCGGATTTGAGGTGATGGAGTCCGTCGCTTCCTGTGTGGGGTTGAAGCTGCATCCCCCTCAGAAACGTTACCCCTCGCCGGGCCTCTGGTGACGGGTTTGGAGCCTTAATCTCGCCATCCATGAGCAGGCGTCAGGGTGGTGCCGCCCTCGCCATTGGGGCGAGTGAGCGGCGCAGTGGCCTCCACGTCGCTGACGCGGCCTCTTCCATTGCAGGGCACGGAGCCCAGCTACCTGGAGCGGGCCGAGCGCCTGCACGCGGTACTGTGCAGCACGATGGAGAAGGTGGGCGGGGCGCAGCCTGGGCGGGGGTCGTGGGGGCGGGCCTGGGCGGGGCGCGGGGAGGAGCCCCGCTGAGCCCCCGCCCCTCCCCAGAGCGTGCTGGGCGGCCAGGACCAGCTGCGGATCCGCGTGACTGAGCTGGAGGACGAGGTGCAGAACCTGCGTAAGATCAACCGCGACCTGTTTGACTTCTCCACCCATATCATCACCCGGCCATCCAAGTGAACACGGGCACCCGGACCTCCGGGTCCCCGCCCGCGGCCAGGCCGAACGGGCACTGGGCCAAACCTCAGTTCCATCCATCGGCACCCAGCAGACCCGCCCCCGGGCCGGCGGCCGGAGCTCACCTTCCGCCACTTCGCATCGGGTCGTGCCGCGCGGCTGTCGCGTTCCATTGGTGCTGTTCTTTTTTAACAAAAGACCTAAAGCCTGTCCACTTTGGGCCTCGTTTGTGCCGAGGGCTGTACCAAGCCCAGCCTGGGCCCCAGGACCATCATGCTGGCCATCAGCCCAACCGCTGAGAACCCGGTGCTGAGGAGCTGTGGTTATCAGATGTCCCAGATGCTTGTTTGTCACACTAGTGCCTTTGCAGGAAGGACCCTGAAGGCCAGGCCATCCTCCATGGGAGGGGACTGGGGAAGGGGCAGCCTCAGCTGCACCCTGAGGTCACCAGGGGTGGCAGTGATTTGGGGAGAGCAGTGGTCACACCAGCCCTGTCCTGATGGCCATCATGGGTTAAGGCGGGCTCTGGGGCTATGGCCAGTTCTGGGCTGGAGTCCCCTGGAGAGACATGCACCCAGGCTACTTGACCACAGCATTCTTGTAAGCGTCAAGGGCCCAAGAAAGGCCAGGTGCCCCCCACTGCCCTGAGGACACTGCCAGCCACCAGTCAGCACCTGGAGCTCAGCCCAGACGCGTGGGTCCCAAGGTTGCCCTGGGAACTTTCCAGAAAGCTACCCCAACTTGCTTAATGATCCAGAAAACCGTGTGATTTGGCAGGCGCTGTCGTAACTGCCACCACCAGCCAGCAGCCAGCAGCCAGCGCTGCATTCATGCTTTTAAGCTAATTTGTGTACTGGGCTCTGGCTTCAGCAATGGGTGGCCCGGCCACACTGCAGCAGGATGCTGGAGGATGGCACTGGGGCCACCCTCTGTACCCACCCCTGTGGGCCCTGGCCCCTCCCCCCAGAGCTCATTTGCAGTGGTACTTGGGGTCTGTCCTGTCAGTGCCAGGGGAGGGGTCCTGCTGGCTCATGAGGGTCACGTCATACGCACTCAGGGTCAGGTGCCTCTGCCGGGCCACCACGTCCCAGCCTGCCCTGCCCTCTGCCGTCCCCTGGGAAGGAGACGGGCTGACTCCGGGCTGGCTACTCTGCCCAAGTCTGCGTCTGGTCAGCCCCAGACGAACTGGCAGGTCGCCATGAGATGTCCTGACAATCCCGGCCTCCGCCGGGCAACCTCCCTGAGGTAGTGGCTGATTCCCCACGTATTCCCAGGGCCAAAGCTCCCCCTCAGCGCCACCCTTGTTTTTGGGGTGCCCTGGGCAGGGAAGGAGAATCCCATGTTCTGACTCAGGCCTGAAGGGGTGTGGGGGGCATCAATATGCAAACAGAGTCCACGTCCACACTGTCCACACTGCCTGTTCAGTGTTGATTCGGAAAGTCACCTTTCTGCAGGTCGTGGTGAGAGGGCTCAAAGGGTTTGACCAGCCTGCCATGCCCCTTGCAGACAACACGGGGGTGGGCCTGTTGACCTCCCCACCCTGCCTGAAGTTCCCATGAAGTGTCGGGTGAGCCAGGCCCAGCTCTGAGACTCAGTTTCCTTCTAAAAAGGGTTGTCCCCACTCCTGAGCCTGTAAGGGCCCTTGCAGAGCTTGTGTCCAGCTGGTGTTCGGCAGGCAGGTGGGTGACAGCCCGCAGGAAATGTGTTCTTGTCATCTAGTCTATGAGAATCAATGTGCATGCCCCTCAGCCCAATCTAGCCCTGAGTCCAGGGCCATCACTGCTGGGCAGAGATGCCAACAACCCCTTGATACAGGCGACTCCTGTGTATCGGCAGTTGCTATGCCACAGCGAGATGCCACCTCACCTGCCAGGAAAGCAAGTGTCTAAGTGGAGGTAGAGAAACCAGCCCCTTGTGTGTTGCTGTGGGCCAGCCGCAGTGGCAAATAATCTGATGGTTCCTCAGAAACTCAAGCATCGTGTGACCCAGCAGTCCCACTTCTGGTTGATGGACGCCCAGAAGGACCAGAAGCAGAGATTTGAGGCCTTTGCACACCTGTGTTCACAGCCGCGTTTGCTCAGTGGCCAGAAGGTGAGCGCTGCCCGTGTCCACCCACAGCGGATGGAAAAACAACGTGGTCCTTCCAGACAGTGGGATGTTACTGAGCCTTAAAAAGGACAGACATCCTGATATCTGCTACAACGTGGGTGACGCTTGAGGATATACTCATAAGAAAAGCCACAAAAGGTCAACGTGTGTTGACCGCCGAGGACACTATAACCCAGGACCAAGGCAGATGAGGAGCTTCCTGGTGTGGCGGTGGCCTCAGGCAGGGAAGGGCCCGGAATCCGGGACCCTTAGGGACCTCCTGGTCCTGGGATGCTTGGTCAGGTGACTGGATGAGATGAGATCCTTGTCACCTGGAGCCCAGCCTCCCAGCCCTCATTATGGTCGCCTCAAATTTCAATCCTTAATGCTGGCTGGCACTTGGCATTGTTTAATGGCGGATTCTCCTGTCTCTAACGCTGGCTCCAAAAGAATGTTTGTGTGTGAGCCAAACAAGTGCAGATCCGTCCCAGCGTCAGAGCTGGAACGTTCCGTGAGGGGCGACTGCCCTCGTGTTCTCCGACCCCTCCCCAGGGAGGACGGGATGAGAGTACTCCCTGCGGGGTGCTCATGGAGCACCTGCTGCATGCGTGGGGCACAGGGACCTGGGGCGGAAGGGAGGCCCCAAGAATGCGGGAAGGCTTGGGGGTTGGTAGACAGCAGGGAGCTACAGAAGGTTCTGGAGCAGTGGAGGGCGATGGAACCAAGGGTCGTTGTCTGAGCAGTTACTCAAGCAACAAGCAATGTCAGTGTCCCTACTGTGCATAAGCCCTGGAGACAGCAGTTACCGACCCCCGTCCCCTCCCAGGGTTGAGTGGGTGCGATGGCCAGTAACTAATGAATAAATGACCAGGTGGCAGCACACGGTGGTGTTAATGGGGGCGGGGGGGTGCTCACGTGCGATGCGGGTGCCCTGCACCTTTCTGGGAGACAAGCAGGGGACGTTTCTCAGAGCAGGGTGTTGGGGGCTGGGAGGGTGATGAGTTCTCTGGTCTCAGTCGCTGCCCCCAGCTAGAGGGAGGGAGCTCTGTCCTCCAGCTTTTCCGCAGACACCGCCTCGGTGTCCCCAGGGTGCGCGAGAGCACACTCAGGTGGGTCGATGTGAGTGCACACTGCTTGCTGGAGGCGGGACGTGCTGCTGTGTGACCGTGGAGGCAAATCCTGAGCCTTCCTGGGCCTCAGTTTCCCTGACTGAACGATGGGCCACATTCCCAGGCTGGAGGGAGCAGGGTGAGTGTGTGGGCAGTTTTTGACCCCAATCTCCCTGGTGTCAAG